TATATATATATATATATGTATCTATGGTGTATGTTGTGTATCTAGTAATATAATTTTATAATTAATATTCATTATATGGTTACACTAAATATTATTATATGTTCACAATTGAAGTTTTTATTACATATATATATATATATATGATCCTTCTTCTCCATTTTGTATTTCCTATTTTAAATGCATAGAAAATTGTACACCTTGATAAAAGTTCTAGAATTTTTCTAGTTTTATTTCTCTAGAAAATATATAGTTACAGGTTAACGTTTTACAATTAAAGGTTATTTGTACCTAATTATTCATTTCTAGCTACTAATTTATTAAATAAAATAAATGAAGTTATTAAAGTTTTTTTTTTTTTTTATTATTGTATTATCAAATAAAAATTATTTTATAATTAAGTAAAAAAGTAGTTCTCTAGAATAAAGTCACATAGTTAAAAGATAAACTTTAAATTAATACCCGCCAAAGTTTTCAAGTTTCAAATCTTAGCTTTGTAATTAGATTTATTCTTTCAATTTAATCAGACTTTTATCGTGAACAATATTTTATAAATGATAACATAGAAATCATAACCTCTTAATTATTAGAGTATTAATTATTTATATGGCAAAGATTATTATTACATGTTTGTATTTTTTTTTGTGTTTTTTTGTTTTTTTTTAGTAAACTTTTCGTTGGAGGATTGTCTTGGGAAACAACGCAAGAAAACTTGCAACGTTACTTCGGTCGTTATGGCGAAGTAATTGATTGCGTTGTCATGAAAAATAGTGAATCTGGGCGCAGTCGTGGTTTTGGATTTGTAACATTTAGCGATCCTGCTAATGTTCCTTTGGTCCTTCAAAATGGGCCGCATCAGCTTGATGGTCGTACGGTGAGTTTGATTATTAACCTTACTTTTCATATTGATATTATAATGCATTATTATTATATATGTTATTTTGTTAAGTATTGGTAAAAACATTCATATTGAAAAATATAGGTTATGATAATTAAATAATATTTTTCTATTAATGATATGATTGATATAGATTGATCCAAAACCATGCAATCCACGAACCTTACAAAAACCAAAACGTAGTGGTGGGTTTCCGAAAGTATTTCTTGGTGGGCTTCCAAGTAATGTGACGGAAACTGATTTAAGATCCTTTTTTACTCGATTTGGCAAGGTTATGGAAGTTGTTATAATGTATGATCAAGAGAAAAAAAAATCAAGAGGTTAGTATATCCATCATTTTCATAGATTCTTTTCTTTCTTTTTCTTATTTTTTTTTTCTTCTTCTTCTTCTTCTTCTTCTTCTTCTTCAAACAAGCACTGGTTTTCATGATTTTCATTAAGTTAGTTATTTTATATATTTTTTATTGATTGAGATTCTTAAATGTTTCTCATCGTGTCTCCTATTTCATATTATTTTGTTAAGAAATAATTATTTATACTTAGTTGATATATTTTTTACTATTTAACTTATAGTTGAGTGATGTGATGACATGAACTTTATGAAAAGTGCATTAGCCAATGCTTGAATATATTAAAACGTATTAAGAATAGTTTTATATATATATATTTTTAATAACACAGTCAGAATTCTTGAGGAATATAAAGTCAATTAAATTTGATTGATACTTTTACTTAATGATCATAGAAAGAAAGAAAACACACACACACAACATATATTTGGATATAATATTAAATATATATATATATATATACACCTTTTTAATGATCAATGATGGATTTTGATTGTATCAAAAATTCTGACTTGAATGCAGCACACCTATTATAATTATTATTATTATTATTATTATTATTATTATCGTTGATAAATTTCTAGGTAGGTAGTAATTTTAATAGAACAAAATTTTAATTATAAATTACATCTTTATTATCTAATACAATTAGACAGATAATGTTATCTTTTTAGTTTAAACAAATTTTCTAATGAGATATTATTTTTCATATAATTTACAATATAATATATTTCTAATGGAATTTACTTGTAAGATTATTGAAATTAGAAATTGTTTAACGTATAAGTCATAATTATTGTTACATATTAGTGCGACAATCAAATCCCATATGCCAAAGCTTATAATTTTATCTTATTAATTTTGTTGACAAATGTTATATTATATATACACATTATAATAATTTAAATTAATTTAATTAACACAAACTGAGCATATTATAATTGTGTTCAGTGTGAGATTAGTAAGCGTAGCTTAAGGCTTTGTCAGGCTGTGCTACTGTAATAAGTTAAATATAACCTAAGTTATCTAAGCTGTTGGTAAGATATTTTGTATAAATCTTGTTTTTATTATAAACATCTTTTTCATATATATATATATAGATTGCCTATTAAATTAATAATTCATTTAATTATACTTATTAACTGTAATAGTATTTATGAATATCATCCGAACCACTTATTATTATTATTGTTTGTCTATCAACATAATAATATTACAAATTATTTGCATTATGCATAATTATGACCTATCATTGTAATACAATCCCTTTTTTTTT